CATATGCAAGAAACGCCCACTGCTCTCTCTCTCTCTCTCTCTCTCTCTCTCTCTCTCTTCACTCTCTGAAAAGAGTAGCTTGCCCTCTCTCTCACTCTGTTTTTGTGATTAGAACAGAGTGTAAACTGGAAGAGGCATTAAATACCAAAAGCTTTGTTTATTGGGTGCCAAAGTACCATAAGACTTTCATGAAACGGGACTATCACCGCCAATAATACCATTACACATCGCATAGCATTATTGGCAGTTTTTCTCACCGAAGTGCTTTAGATAGGTCACGTGGAAAGAATACAAATTTGAGTTTTGGTCCAAAGTTGAATAATTTGGGTGGAGATTAATTACATAATTAAATAATTAATTGGTGCACACTTTGTTGGCTTAATTGCTCTTCTCTTTTTACGGCTTGAGTGTCGGCTTAAATTTGACCACCGAGACAACGTGATGCCCCCTCTATCTGTTTTAAAGTCGGCACATCACCTTGTGGTTAATTACGTAGCCAAGATTGCAGAGTTTGATTGGTGGCTGAGGTATTAAAAATAAATAATGAGATCCCCAATATATTGAACCTAGCATGGATTATTATTTTCCTTGAATTATTTTCATGTTGCTTGGAAGCATGGGCCATTCTATTATTATTTTACATAAAGAAATTTATATATATAGCATGTCACGTAGACCTTGTTTTGTGTAATTTATTGTTTTCTTTCCATTTCGTATGAACTCGCACATGGTGCTTATAAATGCACTGTTTTTTTCTTTTTCTTTTTCTTCTTTTTCTTTTGACCTTTTGGTATTTTATTTTCAATATTTTGGGTAGATTCTGAGTGTTATGTTTGAGTGCTTCAAATACCCAAAAGAAGAAAAGGGGAAAAAGAAGGATGAGTTGGGATCGTATTCTTTGCAGGATCTACAAGTTAGGTCATTAGCACAACTTGTTCTTGGCTGAGGCCTCTGTTTGACACGAGCACAGGGCATCAAAAACTCAAGAAAGATGCATAATTTAATCCATCGCTTTGGCACTAACTCTTGGGTGATTTAGTGACAAGAACATTTAGGAAAAGAACGTCCGGCCTTTTTTATTTTTAGCCTTGATGTTACATGCAGGGTGAAAATGATGGAAACACCAAACAAACACCCTCAAAATTCCAAGACTGAAGCATCTTGACCATTAAAAACCCATGCCACATTGATATCAGGTCAACAATACATGTCATTTTTCTACATCACCAACATTAAACTACTTGAATAGATTTAATCATAATTGTACGAGGAGAGCCAAGTTTCTCCGGAAGGAAACATCAAACCCTTCAGAAAATTCAAACCCTTCCAAAAAAATAATTAGGTGTAATAGTCACCCATTGGTGTTACTAATTCATGTGATATAACGTGTTCATATTTTAGGGTGTAGTACTAGTACATAAAACACATACTATTTTAGGGTGTAATATTAGTATATAAAACACATACCATAATACTATAACACCTAGTTAGCATTTTTCCGTTTAATATTTATATTATACACATATGTACATATTTTTTAATAATACTTTTATTTTCCATATACGCCTTAAATACTCAATAGAATATGCTCTTTTAAAAAACAAACGTACAATACATATATTATGCACATATATACATATTTTTCACATTTAGTACACATTTTTTACACAATTTTAAATAATACAAACAAAATTCACACATTATACCCTTATTTTTTACATATTATTAAACAAAAATAATATATTTAAATATTTTATAAATTATAATAAAATATTACAGTGACCTAACTTTCCCACGCCGTATTTTATTAACTATTAATGTAGGTTCATTTTCCAAGGGCTATAAACGAGGATTACACAAATTTAATTTTGTAGAAGGAGCAGCTTTTTGGTTTTCAATTAGTAGTTTGGGGCATTGTTTATTACAATAATCATGTAATGTACCCATCCTTTAAAACAATTACACGACCACAATAGATGAATGCAAATATAACATCTAACAAATCAACACTACTCCATTCCATCTCAAAATCAGTCCACCCACAGTTTAATAAGTAGTGATATGAGAACTTTAGCAATAGACTTGGAACAAAATGAGAAACAAAGGGTGTCTCTAAAGACTGCACCAACCAAATGGAGCATACTATTTTCTTAGCTCAAAATCCAACCTTCACATAATGAACACACTACATGTCTAGAAGACTATAACCTTTATGTGCATGGCCTGTTGCAATTACTGTAGAAGAAAGGAACATAACAAAAACAAAGACCTCCATCCAACATTCTCGAATATTAAAAACGGTAAATGAATGCGAGAAGTGAGAGCAGCGCTTCTCAATGGTAAACTAGCCCCAAACCTAATAATTGCGGGTTCAAGTCGCAAAAGCAATCTCTGTAAATGGCTGTGTTACTGTCTTGCCTCCCCAAACCTTGCATCAGTAAGAGCCCCGTGCACTGGGTCACCCTCTTTTTACAAGAATGTGGGAAATCAACTGCACTGAACACTGTACATACCATACCTCCCACCTACATCTCTATTTTAAGGATTCCACAACAGAGCATCAAAATATGTCCTCCTACATCTCTATTCTCAGAATTCCACAACAGAGCATCAAAATAAGCTCCTAAGTCGAGGAACACTATCTACTTCACCCACCCCCTCCTAAAATATATATAAAAAGGAAACCTGTACCATGCGATTTGAATACAAAGAGAGGCTTGCTTACAAGTTTTTTTTCCAGAGAAACAAGAAATTAAGTAAAAACATATGAACCTAAACTACTAAACTTACCCGAATCATATATATGCCCTTTAACACCCACTTTATTCGCTTAAGATGTTGCATTCACTCATAAGTAAAAGCACAAGAAGAAAAGAACCCAACAATTTCGCAATCCAACAGAATGCCTTCTCAAATCCCTTTTTCTTCTCTAAACTCTGTTTCTCACATCTTCACATGGTTTAGCATCAACTCAGCACAGACTCAGAATTCATGTGAGTACCATTTCCTCCATCACGATTGTTAGATGCTCCTATGGGCATAGACCGCTGTGTGAAATCCAACAACATCTGTCTCTGGTGCTCATCAGTGTGAGGAAGGCTTGCACGCAACAGCTCAACTGGCATTTCACGACTAAAAGATATGGCTGTATCTGCGCCAATAACAGGCACATTTGGAGGGGCCTCCATTAGCCGTGACTGCATTATACTATCATATTTATTTACACAATACTTTGTCAGAAGGCCAAAGAATTCATCAAAAGAGGCCTGCCAAAGTGCCCGATTGGTCACGTTGTAGTTGCTTGCAGCATGAGGATCAGTTAAGAGTTCAGTCGCCCTCTCAAGAACTGAATTGAGAATAAGGGAGGCCCCATCTCCTGCAGGGCTTCCAAGGGGGCGAAGCGGGGGTTGCTCCGAGGAACAAACCACCGCTGCAAGACAGGCACTAAGTGCACCAAGGTCCATACCTCGAACACATGATGAAACAACCCTTGCAAGAATATTTGAAATTTCTGCAGTCCGTGAATCAGAAGGGAGGGTACCAAACAGGAACCTTAGATGACGAAAGATGGCCATACAGACTATTCGCATGAGCTCACCACCTGGAAAAAGAAGCCGGAGGTACTTTGCTAGGAGCTTCCGGCCCTTGGGAAGAGAAACTAACCTTAGGAATACAAGATCATCCTTAGGGACAGGCCCAACCGTGTGGCCATTGTTGCCAAGTGGGTCAACCAATTGAAGAGATGTTGCAAGCCCTTCCAACAAGGCCTGCCGCCTACGCTTCAACTGGATTCCACCATCTTGGAGTTGATTGAACTGTAGAAAACGATCAATGTCATCCACATCTAGGAGAAGACATAGCCCATCCTCAATTGCAACTCTAGCGGCAAGCATTGGCTCCTGCTCTAGTGGCTTCTCAGAAACCTTTTGTTCAGTGTTGCCAGGACTGGATGAATTTGGAGGCTCAACTTCAAGAAGAGGACGAGGCCTACGTATTGAAGAGAAGGGAACCCTCCCAAGAGCATCTACCTGGAGAAAAGCATGTGGCTCAGTATTAGCTCGTGCTCGAGGAGGAAGATCCCTTAAGTTAGTTGGGCAGAAATGATGTTTCAACTTTGCCCCAGCAGATTTTCTTGCAAGGCAATACTGGTGGTAATAATCATCCACATATGGGTCATTGCTGTGTGTAGCAGCTAGCTGCATTCGGAGTATACCCTCAATTTCATCAGCTGTCATATACTTGGACCTAAATTGTGGCCACCCACCATCACTCCTATGGCTACTTGTATCAAAGCCATATTGAGAAAAACGCATATTTAATCTAACTTTCTGAGCGGATTTTGGCCTTTGATCTCGAGAATCACCCATACCGAGCATTGCTTCAAACTTGCTCATCACGGGCAGGGATGGAGAAAGATGGGGGTTAAATAGTTGAGACTGCATCACTGACAACTGGTTAAATGATGGCTGAACTGGATGGTGCAGTCTAGGAGGTTGTGGCTGTGGCTGTGGCTGTGGCTGATGCATCAATTGTGGAGGCATTAAGCCATTCTGATGAGATAACTGTTGTTGCAATAAATTGTTTAAAAGACTGGGATGATCTCCATATGCGCCACTTTGGTTGGCCCATTGCTTTAGGGGTCGGCTATTAGCGGAGATACCAGAAGTAAGCTGAGGCAAATTTCCACCAAAATGTGATCCATGAGGTAATCCAGTCATTTGAAGTTGAGAGTTAGAGTAAGGAGAGTGGTTTGGTGAAGATAATCCCCCCTGGGGTCCACCAGCAAGATATGGGTTCAGGTGGCTTGATTGGCGGTTTGGCGAAGCCTGCTGAGAGATGCCACCTGGGGGAGGATATGAAGTGAAACCAGATTTTGGCACCAGAATTGGTTCACTGGAAAAATGTTGATGATGATGATGA